TTCAAGTAAATTGTACAGGCGAAATATTAAATTGTTCCAACGCACAAATCAGTAAAAGTCTCTTTTTTCATCGTATATGATCCTTACAAGGGGTCAGGACTAGTTCTACAGGGACACAGGCCCCTGTTGGCCCCCGTCTAGAACCGCCTCTGCTGACCGTGTGTCTTGCAATGTACAGGGGTTAACGAGGGGCAATCAGCCTCTCACCACCACCTCCTGATCTGGAAATCAAACATGTTTGAAATTTAGTCGGCCAATGTGAGGTGTTTATGGACAAATCCTTCTGTTGAAGCAGAGCTACGAGCCGATTTACCAGAACCTCGAGCACTGAGCATGAGCAAACACGGGAGTTCTTCTTCTTCTTCTTACAGATTGACAAGTCCAAGTAGTGCCATCTTTTGCCGGGTCGCACAGTGTGAGAACAAACATCGTGAGCTGTGAACTTTAAACTCTGCGGTGTTGTCGTACAGTTTGAGCTGTAGCTGTGTGCGACGATTGAACATATCGTACAGTGTATGTCCGCCTTAAGGATGCTTCATCAGCAGGATTTGTCCACGACCACCTCACGACGGCCGACTGAATTTCAAACATGTTTGATTTTCTCCCGACCTTACGATTCCTGATGGGGAGGTGGTTGCCCCTAATTACCCCTGTATACTACAGGACCCATGATGAGGCGAAAACTTTGCCAGATTGAAAAGATTCTTGGACGACAGGAGAATCGGCCGGAAAAAGGTATAAAGTTGAGCATAATATGTAAGATTACGGTGCAGAGTCACTTAAACTATCCCAATTTAATGTTTCATCCATCAAACAGCCAGGACTTTTCGAGACAGCCTGTTGTTTGAGATCGGCCTATTTTCCAGTGTATTCCTGTTTCTCTGACTGTGACTAACTGGTTGTGCTCTCTTCATCCTCTGACATGGGAGCTGGCTCGGAGCTCGTCTGCCTGGCTGTGTGTTTCCTGGACGGGGCCGCCTTTTACAGTTGCTTTTTGTATCTATGCTTCTTTTTCTATGTCTGCTTCTGTTTCCTTGAACCCCAGTCGGTCTCAGCAGATGGCCGCTCACACTGAGCCTGGTTCTAATGGAGGTTTCTTCCTGTTAAAAGGGAGTTTTTCCTCTCCACTGTCGCTACAAGCATGCTTAGTGTGACAGATTGTATTTGAGTCAATGAGTCAATGCAATCAACTGGTTTTCCTTAGATAGAGAACTTTGAATCAATCTGACTGGATGATCTGGTGAACTGGAAAGTGCCTTGAGATGACATGTGTTGTGAATTGGCGCTATAAAAATAAACTGCATTGAAACTGAATTGACCTAACATCGTTGGTCTGGGGAGATCTCAGGACACTCTTGCTCTGTGAGGACGAACAGTGACGTGTTTCTGCGGTTGCACAGAGGCAGAGAATAAGAGGATTTAAAAGTTTTCAGATCATAAATACCCGTCAGTGCAACAACAGAGACGTCACCGTCCTCTTTTGGTTCACTTGCTCACTTTGCTTCTCTGGTAATTTCCTTATCTAAGGGAACCACAGCAGGGTTGGTTAGAAAACAAAGCCACTTTCTTTGCTCCAGAGCTCACTGAACACTGACCAAGCTGCCCTCATGCTAAAGCGCTGATATTTCCCACTAAGGAACCTTTATTTGTGGCGGCCATCAGCCTCCACCTGAATGACCTTAAATACGTCGACACTACTGCTGATCGCCTGCATCAATAAAAACATCCAAATCAATCTTTCTTGCTGATCAAACGAGGAAAACAAATCTGTAATTACTAAATACATTTATTTTAAACGGAATATTTAATCATTTGATTGTGTATTTTTCCATTCATTGGTATTTGAATATTAGATGAATGATAGTTTGGTTCCTCATAAACAACAGAAATCACATTACAGTGATTTAAAAAAAAAACATTATGCTGCCTCCACTGCAAAAAAATTAATCTGAATAAGCTATTTTTTATTAAAATAAGTGAACTTTTTTCTTGAGTTGAGGTCAGTGAGACACTTTGCCAACAGAACAAGAAAATTTAGATTTAAAATAAGAAAAATCAACTGCAGTCTCCTATTTCAGGTTCATATCATCTAATTATCTTATTTGAAGAGTAAAAATACCCCATAGTTCATTGGCTAATAATTTTATTTACCTGCTCAAATTAAGGCTAAATACACTAAATTTATGGTTTTTGCAGTGTTATGCCCTTTCTTGGAGTTTGGGGACCCTCTGGGGGGTCCCGACCCCCACTTTGGGAACCCCTGCTCTACAATTCAACATTTCAGAAAAAATAACAACACAACGAACTGACAATCCTCTAAAAATACATCTAATTCCCTCACTCTAGCCCCATTTATTATCCATATACATTTAGTATTTTTAAAGAATGACAGGTAATTACTAAATTATTTTCTTTTTATTCATTTAATAGAAAATAAAATGATTTATTTGTGTATATTTCCATTAATTGGTATTTCAGTCCCGTATTAGATAATTTATACAGTTCAGTTCCTTATAAACGACATGAATCACATTATAATGATTTAAAATAACAGCCTTATGCCTTTTCTTGGTGTTTGGGGGCCCTCTGGGGGGTCCCGACCCCCACTTTGGGAACCCCTGCTCTACAATTCAACATTTCAGAAAAAATAACAACACAACGAACTGACAATCCTCTAAAAATACATCTAATTCCCTCACTCTAGCCCCATTTATTATCCATATACATTTAGTATTTTTAAAGAATGACAGGTAATTACTAAATTATTTTCTTTTTATTCATTTAATAGAAAATAAAATGATTTATTTGTGTATATTTCCATTAATTGGTATTTCAGTCCCGTATTAGATAATTTATACAGTTCAGTTCCTTATAAACGACATGAATCACATTATAATGATTTAAAATAACAGCCTTATGCCTTTTCTTGGTGTTTGGGGGCCCTCTGGGGGGTCCCGACCCCCACTTTGGGAACCCCTGCTCTAGATTTGTTTAAGGTTAAGTTTGAACTTCCAAACAAACTCCCCAGAAGTGAGCGGGACGGAAACACTACCTGTTGCTGATAACCTGTAACCAACTTTTAGTCCTCTCATATCTGTGTTTGAAGAAAATAAAGGACAGTTTAAAGTCGTAATGATTAGTTTCTAGTAAACATTTTTAAGACTTTGATATTTTGAATGATAGTTTATGAGCATAAGAGGGACGGCACCCTAGTTCAAACTCATCCTTAGTTTCTTTTATGTCAGGAAATCAGATATTTAATTGGATTTTAGTGTCTCTTCTTTACAGAAGAGGATTAGAGCCACTGAAAAAATAAAAAAGTTAACAGGTTTTAACATTTTATTTCAGTATAATATGAGAAAAAAGTCAGAATTCTGACTTTAATCTCAGAATTCTGATTGAATTCTGACCGACACAAACTTTTTAGCATCAAGCTAAAACATGTCTGTTTTAGAGACTAAACTAACTCTCTGGTTTTAATCACCCTTCTGCTCTTCCATTAATGAAAAAGCATCACCAGGGAGCCCTCGGACACGTATAAAGTCACTTAATTCTGTCATTTTCCACCAATGTGTTACTGGCCCTCTCAAACAACTCACATCTTTGTCAGTGAAGCTGAGCGCTCCCACATCTCTTCCTTCATGGTGCCCATCTACATTAAGATCCACAATTCTGAGATGAGAAAAAAGTCAGAATTCTGAGATTAAATTCAGAATTCTGAGATTAAAGTCAGAATTCTGAGATTAAATTCAGAAATCTGAGATTAAAGTCAGAATTCTGAGATTAAAGTCAGAATTCTGAGATTAAATTCAGAATTCTGAGATTAAAGTCAGAATTCTGAGATAAAGTCAGAATTCTGGGATTAAATTCAGAATTCTGAGATTATATTCAGAATTTTGAGAAAAAAGTCATTGATCTGGGATTAAATTCAGAATTCTGAGATTAAATTCTGAATTCTGAGATTAAATTCAGAATTTTGAGAAAAAAGTCATAGATCTGTGATTAAAGTCAGAATTCTGAGATTAAATTCAGAATTCTGAGATTAAAGTCAGAATTCTGAGATTAAATTCAGAAATCTGAGATTAAAGTCAAAATTCTGAGATTAAAGTCAGAATTCTGAGATTAAATTCAGAATTCTGAGATTAAAGTCAGAATTCTGAGATAAAGTCAGAATTCTGGGATTAAATTCAGAATTCTGAGATTAAATTCAGAATTTTGAGAAAAAAGTCATAGATCTGGGATTAAATTCAGAATTCTGAGATTAAATTCTGAATTCTGAGATTAAATTCAGAATTTTGAGAAAAAAGTCATAGATCTGTGATTAAAGTCAGAATTCTGAGATTAAAGTCAGAAATCTGAGATTAAAGTCAGAAATCTGAGATTAAATTTAGAAATCTGAGATTACAGTCAGAATTCTGAGAATAAATTCAGAATTCCGAGAAAAAAGTGAGAATATTTGTTTACTTATTTTTATTTCTTTTCTTTTATTTATTTATTTTTACTATTTTTCAAGGCACTTTTAAATAAGATGAAATTGTGCAGAGAGCTGTTCCAAACGAAATTTCTTTTTGTTTTACACTTGTGTAAACAAAATGACAAATTAAATCTGTCTACGTCTCTGTCTAAATCTAATTCTGAGATTAAATTCAGAATTCTGAGGGGAAAAAAAGTCAGAATTTTGAGATTAAAGTCAAAAAGCTGAGATTAAATTCATAATTCTGACTTTGTTCCCATATTAAACAGAAAAATATTTAAAAATCAGTAAACTTTTTATCAGTTTTTCAGTGGCCCTAATCCCCTTCCGTACTTCATCATAATTTCAATATTAAAACTTTTTTATTTGCTCTCAGACAGAAACCATTACAACAGAAACTCCCTCTGTCAACAATGATGAGCCCCATTGTTCGCGTCTTTCTCCCAGGCTCCGCCCATCATTGACATGAAGGCTGTGATTGGCTGAGCCGGGTCAGGGTGCCGTCATCGCTCGGGGCGCCCATTCATCTCTGCAGTTGGAAGCTGGGACGTTTCTCCATTTTGCAGCCCGTCTGCAGAGAGACGGCCACCGAGCTGGGATTTTATCGCTTCTCCTCAATCCGCCACTTTCCTCTGAAAAACCTTCCTGTTCTCACTGGACTCTGCTCATCTTTGCTCTCAACTTTCATTTCCCTGCAAAGGAAGAGAAGGACATAAAGAGAGGAGGGGGGGACTGAGAGGACTGGAACAAAGGAGCCTGTGGGTCTTTGTTTGGGATTTTCTTTCTTTTTTCTTCTCTTGGAGCGGTTTGGGTTCCTCTGTTGGAAACATGGGAGCGCAACTGTCTAAGACGTCTGGAAACGCTGAGACTGCGGCTGAGAAGCCCGGGGAGGCTGCGGCGTCCCCCACCAAGACCAACGGCCAGGTAAACGAGCTTCCCTCAGACATCTGGCGCGCGCTCCGGGCGCAGCGCGTGCGTAAAGGTGGAAAGCCTTTTTCCTTCGGTGCAACAGTTTGATGCTGTGGTTAAGATGCGTTTGAATGGAAGCAGCTCTGATCAGAAGCTGCTCGCTTCTCGATGAGGATGTCGGTTCCGCAGACAAAGCGCTGCGCTCTCGGAGCACCACGCCTTTTGTTGCGGATGCTCGCTTAGAAAGTGGAGATGGCAGCCAGGAGAGAGGGGGTTCCAAACCCCATCATAGCTTCATAGATTAATCAGCATCTGCTCCAACCAGACTGAACTCAATCTGAGGCAGGATGGAGGAAATATGTCCCTCTGCTCTTTCCATATGCTTTTTTAAACAGAAGTCTGGTTTTGCTGACTGATTGTGAGACTGTTGCTTTTGTTGCTGCTGATCTGCTGGTATCTGCTGCCCCTGGTGTCCACTGCTGGCACCGTCCAGGGAAGGTCTTTGTCCCTCTGACCCCTTCTTTGTCTCTCCTTTGGCAGGAAAATGGGCACGTCAAGGCAAACGGAGATGCCTCCCCTGCTGCAGCCGAGAACGGCAAGGAGGAGGTGCAGGCCAACGGCAGCGCCGAGACCCCCAAGGAGGAGGGGGAGAAAGCCGAGGCCGCCCCAGCTGAGCAGGAGGAGAAAGTAGAGGCAGCGTCTCCGGCCCCCACTGAGGGAGAAGCCAAGGCAGAGGATGGAGCGACGCCTTCTACCAGCAACGAGACCCCAAAGAAGAAGAAGAAGAAGTTCTCCTTCAAGAAGTCGTTTAAACTCAGCGGCTTCTCCTTCAAGAAGACCAAGAAGGAGACGGGCGACGGGGCCGAGAATCAGGAGGCCGCTGCGGAGTCGGCAGCACCTGCTGAGGAGGCCAAGGCTGAGGCCAAGGAGGAGCCGGAGGCTGCCACCGAGGAGGCCAAGCCTACGGAGGGGGAGGCCACCCCTGCGGCGGAGCAGCCCAAGGAGGACGTAGAGAAGAAACCAGAGGAGGAGGCGACAGAGGCGGAGAAACCTGCCGAGGAGGCCGCGGCCCCGGAGGAACCGAAAGCAGAGGAGACGCCGGCCGAGGCCCCGGAGGAGGCGCCTAAAGCGGAGGAGGCGACGCAGGAGGCGGCATCCGCAGAGCCCCCGGCCCCCGAGGCGTCCGAGTAAAAACCCCCGAGAGAGAGAAAAAACCCAAAACAGAGATAATCAGAGAACCCTCCCTGCTGGTGCGTTGGAGCGACGCCACAAAGCTGGCTTTGGAGAACTCACCTGCAACCAGGGAGATTTTAAAGCTTTCCTGAGAATTCACCTTCGGTTTCCCCCCCCTTTTTACAAAACCCGCCACCAGCATGGCGGGCGGCTTCCGATCCACGTCCGCCATAGATTTCTACATCAGTATTACCTTTTTGTTTGGTTTGTTTCTTCTTATTTTTATACGAAATGTAAACAAAAATAGTAACGGGCTGACCCAAATGAAGGGGGAGGGGCTGGGAAATGTGCCACTGATTTTATCCAAACTGAGACCAACATTTAAAAACTTCCAACACTAAGACTTTCTTCTTTTTTTTTTTCCAGTTTCTAACTTTATAGGACATCATGTAAACTCCTCCTCATAGCCGTACCAGTCAGTGATTCAGTAGGGATACCAGCTCTATAGGCCTTTCTTCTTCTTCCTCGGTAATTAAAAAAAGACAAAAAAAACATGTAAGTATGTATAGGCGGGGTGTTTTTAACTGTGATTATTGTACAAAAGAAAATCTTGATCTCAAGAAGCACATAAAGGTTTGCAGCTCTCTCTTTTTTTTCCACCTTGTTTTTGTAAAATACAGACAGACACAAACAAGCAATTTGAACTGAACAAGCTGTGATGAGTGGTGACCGTTTCTATACTGTGGTATGTTCTCCTCCAGCAGACGCTTTCCTTCCCGTTGATCCTTCAACTTAAATCTATCAGATGCAAATGTTTGTGTAGCATCTTCTTCTCTTGTTTTTTTTTTTTGTAAATACGCGGAGGAGCTTGGATTTGACCTAGAGGTGGAATGTAACTTTGCCTTCAAAGCTATTAAACCCTCCTGCTTAAGGTGTTCTGATTTTCTGTGAGCACACTAAAAGCAAAAGAAATAAATAAATGTGAAGAAAAATGAGAGCTGGATCTCTGCTTATTGAAACTCGCAGCTTTTTTTTTTTTTTTGCTGCTCTGCGGCTTTTAAAGGGAAACAAACATTTGACTTTTCACCCACACACACACACACACAAAGAAAAGAGGAAACAAGAAATGGGCTAAAGATGAACGTCGGACCACAGACATTCGAAAAGAGATGTGAGTTTAAGGCTGATGCTTCTAGATCAGTCAACAAACATGGCAGCTCATCTGGCCTTATTGTCCTGCTATCACCATAAACTTTTAAACCATTTTATTGGAGTTTGTCACGTGCCCAAAAATACACTACACACTGGAAAAAACAATCTAGATATGAGTAAAAAAATGTCTTAAATTAAGTGTATTTCCCCTAATTTGAGTAGGTAAATGAAATAGTTTGCCAATGGAATGAATATATTCACTGTTAGAATAAGATAATTAGATAATATACACTAGAAATAAGACAATGCAATTGTTTTTTCTTATTTTAAATGTTAATTGTCTTGGTCCATTGGCAAAATGTCTCTTTAATCTCCTCAATTCAAGAAGAAATGCACTTATTTTAAGAAAAAATGACTTATTTAGATTTACATTTTTTGCAGTGCAGACACACATTTTAGAAACACTGGAAAAACGATCTAGAAATAGATCAAACTTTCTTGGATCAATTGTATTTACCCTTAATTTGAGCAGGTAAATGAGATAGTTTGCCAATTAAATTAGTATTTTTACTCTTAAAATAAGATAAATAGATAATGTGCAATTGTGTTTTCTTATTTTAAGTGTAAATTGTCTTGTTCCATTGGTAAAACGTCTCACTTTTCTCATTTAAGAAAAAAATGCACTTTAAGAAGAAATTAATTACTTAGATTTCAATTTTTTGCGGTGTATCTCCGCTCAGCAAGGAATAGCCAATGGGTCATTATTTATAGTTAAAACTAATACATTCACTGGATTTAATTAATTTAGCGTTAATCAGTAAGAAAATAACTTTCTATGTGATCACTGAGTCTGGGAGCGGCCATTTTTGCCCAAATAAAGTAACCCCTCCCTCCTGCCATCTTCCAGCAGTGACGTCACGGTGCGGTAAGCCTAGCGCCATTCTCCCCGCTTTACAAGCAGAATCAATGGGAACTACTAGACACATCTGCAATCAACAACAATTATTGAAGATTTCCAGAGGACTTCACCATTGAAATTCACCAGAGCTATAGTGAAACTGACAATGCCCACGTGCATGGCAGCTGGATGCTGGAATACATCGGATAAAAGTGGAAAAAAGTTATTTCACCTTTCTGATTCCTGATCCTCCACGGACGGGTTGGTCGTTGGATCGCCAACTTGAAGAGGGAGGATTTGCCATCGAACTTCTGGCCAGAGATAAAACCCGTAATATGTAGCCAACATTTGGAAGAAGAATGTTTTCAAGATGACTTGGATAATAGCGCGTTGTGACAAACACCAGATACAGCACTGGGACTTGATCAACAGCCGATACCGCACCGTGACGTCACAAACCAGTAGGTGGCAGTAGTGTTCTTTGACAAACATGGATGCCTCCAGTAAAGCACATTCACATGAAAATTACTCTGAATTAAAAACACTGATCATTTATTGAACAGGATGGAATAATTTCATATTTATCTAATGATCTTATTTTAAGAGTGAAAATACTAATTCCATTGGTAAACTCACATTTACCTACTCAATTTAAGGGTAAATACACTTCCATTTGAGACATTTTTACATATTTGTAGATTGTGGTTGCTGACATTTGGATCAATAGGCCCTCAGGCAGAGCAGAACGTTCAGACTGAGTGTTACAATGACCTTGTGTTTATCGCTACATGTCCTACGCCATCAGCGGTGACTCTTTTCAATTTAGATCCCGCATGGGTACAGAGTGAACTTTGTTCCGAGTTTTGTTAATAAAAATTTGAAAAAAAGAATGATACCCAGAAAAAAACAAACAAAAAAAAGATTTTAAGAGAAACTTTGATGTTTTGCTAGATTTATTTATTAATATTCTCTACACTTCACTCCCAATACAAATGCTCACTCTTGAGCTAATAAAAATGTCGCTAGCCTCCATGCAGAAAAGCATCTTTGCTCCTCCCTGCAGAGGAAAGCCCGCCCCCAGAAGGGAAGAGAATCTGATCTGTCAGGAGCAATTTGTAAAAGGATTCATTTCATTAATTAACTCAATCTAAAAACTGAAACTTGAAACATTTTAATGAGAATAAATGTGGAAAAAAGAAAAGGAAGTAAAAAGTGGGAGACGATTTCTAAGTATAAGTCATGGCAGCATATGTGTCAGTCTGTAAATAATCCCTTGTTTAACTTTTAGTTAATGAAACGCAATGCTGGTTTGATGATTTGCTCCCGATTCTGATTCATGAGCAATTAGACCAATGCATCCAGGTGTTTTCTGATCAGCCCCGGTGTTACGGCTGTAACAGCTATAAGATGCATTAACCCCCAAAATGAGTCCAGATTAAAGATTTTGATTAAAAACAGATTTGTTTCTACTGCATTCCATGCATCCAATCATCCACCACAACATGACAATGAGTGAAAAGAAAAAGGAAACTAAACAAGTGATTATTTGCACACACGTGGTACCACGACTGCAGAACTACAGGCCCCGCAGGCATGGATGGACTGGGAATCCAGGGCTGTAGGCCAGCCTCATTCATTACTCATACAGGTTAATCATCTCGTTATCTCAAGAAATCAATTACTGTTTTCTCGTGATAACGAGATAATTATCTCAAAAAGGCAAAGGGGAAAAAAAGTGGACTAAGACCACTCTCGGCTTCCATAGAAAACAAAGAAATTACTCTAAGAAGTTTTTAAGTTTTCATTTCCTGAGTGAGTAGCTCTTTGTTTGCCACAAGGATGCAACTAAATGAACTCCATAAATGGGGAAGTCAGCTCCAGGATCTGTTCTCCTTTACTCTTAAAGCTTTAGACAAAGAGTTTAGTTTATTCTTTACCAGCCAGTCTGTGAATCAGAAGCCAGAAGTGAAAGGATGGGGGGGCGGGGGTGGGGGTTCTCCTAGATTCAGAGGAAAACATGAGGAGACGTGACCCTCAGCACAATGCTGATTTAGGTCACATCAGGTCATCAACTTTCATAGAATCTAAATCTGCATAGATCTGCATGATATATATGTATATAAATATATATATATATATTTATATCCAGAACAGAGTGAAGTCGGGCATCTATAGGGGAATGTGAGGAAGGCCCTCTGTGGGTAAGGTGAACAAAAGATGATAAAGATTAAAGAAATGAAATGGATAGAGGTGATCATATGTGTCTAACAACGGGGGAAATTGTTCCGTGAGATAAGCATACCCGGTCAGACCAGCATACCCACAGTCAAAACCCGTTTATCCCTTTAGTTTTGTAAGAAAAATAAACTTTAAACTATCTTGACGGGCGTGTATCACTTTAGTCTTGTACAAAACACCAATTGAATTACTTACTTTTTGGTGTTTTTTTTAAGCGTATGGTAATTTCACCTCAAATGTTTCTTTTTGTACATGACCGAAGGGATACACGCCCGCTGAGAAAGTTCAAAGTGTATTTTTCATACAAAACTAAAGGGATGAACACAAATCTGTCGTCTACATGCGTATTGACAGGTATGCTGGTCTGACAGAACACCATGCTCGGCCTTTTGTTGTGGTTTCCAGCTCAGATCCAGCTGCAGTATCATTCCTGTCGACACTGGAGCAAAATCCAAATCTAGACAAGTAATTTTTTCTTAAAATAAATGCATTTGTTCTTGGATTGAGGAGGTAAAACACTTTGCCAATGGAACAAGATGATTTACATTTAAATTAAGAAAAAATAATAGAATTTTCTTACTTCAAGTGCATTTTATCTAATTGTCTTACTTCAAGAGTAATAACACCCAGTTCATTGGCAAATCACCTCATTTACCTACTCAAATTAAGGGTAAATACACTTAATTTAAGAAATTTATTCTATTTTCTAGATCATTTTTCCAGTGTTCATACCAGCGGCTGAACTGTGAACTTCAGTAGGGTCACAAGTTCTCATGACGTCCTTCGGGGTTTGAGACCACATGTATTCATCATTGCTCCTGATCTGATGTGTAAAGATGAAAGAAGTTCCAAGGAATATTTTCTGTTATTTAAATTCTCAGATTCACATCCTAGATATCAGAACCATGGTTTTTAGACAGCAGGACAGCACAGTAACAGCACCCCCTGGTGGTCAGGGTCTCTAACAGCTCCGCCCTTCTCTCCGCCACTGGTCGATAAATGATGCAAAGACGTAAAATAAAGCTTTATTTCAAAGCTTATTACGCGGAAACCGAGAAGTTCCGATAGTTTATCAAGTTATGTATATATATATAACATGTCAATGTACAAACATTGTTTATTTCTATGTTGTTTTAGATCTTAAAGCAGTTATTGTTGACATATGACGTCATTACGGCTTAGCGTCAGAGGGCTTTCCAAAACATTTTCAATGAGTTTAAAGGGTACATGATTTCCCTAGCTCTAATTTATTCTTAATATTTAAAAAAAGCACCACATCCAACAAGATTTCTGTGACTTTTCAAAGGGTAACACACACACACACATACATATATATATATATATATATATATATATATATATATATATATATATATATATATATATATATATATATATATATATATCTTGTCTGTTTTCCCCTTATTTAGTCCGTGAGGCAGAAACCCTGTCTATTTTTAAGGCTAGGCTTCAAAGTTTCCTTTTTGATAAAGCTTATAGTTAGAGTGGCTCAGGTTATCCTGAGCTATCTCTATAGTTATGCTGCTATAGGCTTAGACTGCTGGAGGACAAAAGGACCCCTATTTCATCATTCTGCTTCATTCTATCTCTATTCTCCAACTCTGCAGAATCTGTTAGTTCAATCTCTAACGTTCTGCTCTCTCTGCTTTTTCTCATAGTAGCTTCATCTGGTCTGTTCCTGTTTGGCTGTGACTCCATCCTGGAGAGAAATATTAGCTGTGCTGCTGCCATCAACACCTTTGTTTCTAGATGTTGGAGATCAGCCTGTTTTCCAGTGTGGTCCTGTTTCTCTGACTGTGACTAACTGGATGTGCTCTTTTCATCCTCTGACATGGGAGCTGGCTCGGAGCTCGTCTGCCTGGCTGTGTGTTTCCTGGATGGGCCGCCTTTTACAGCTGCTTTTCTATCTCTGCTTCTGTCTCCTTGAACCCCAGTCGGCCTCGGCAGATGGCCGCTCACACTGAGCCTGGTTCTGCTTGAGGTTTCTTCCTGTTAAAAGGTAGTTTTTCCTCTTCACTGTCGCTACAAGCATGCTTAGTGTGAGGGATTGCCTTTGAGTCAATGCAATGAACTGGTTTTCCTTTGATAGAAAACTTTGAATCAATCTGATTGGATGATCTGGTGAAGTGTAAAGTACCTTAAGATGATATGTGTTGTGAATTGGCAGTATAGAAATATACTGATTTTACCCATTTATACCTTTTTCAATAAAGTTCATTGAAAAGAAATACTGTTGTGGAGCTAATGCCAAGTTTTAAAATAAACTTTCCAGTGGTTAATTTATGGTGGAGAGCAAGACAATGTTTTAAAGTGATATTTAAGCGATAAAAACACATTAACTACCCACTGTGCTAATGTAGGGGCTACAATTTTGTTTACATTGCTAAAGCATAGTTGGTAACCAACAAACACCAGAAACACCTGAAACCAGGATTATTGGGCATTTAGCAGCAAGGAAACAGAAAATATCTCTACATAAATGAAAATGATTTGGTGAAGGATCCGTTTTGATTAATTTATTCACTTGAAAGAACCACATTTTCATTACTAGGCTTCAGATTCGGGTGCTGCCTTCTCTTAGAGCAGCGCGCCCCCTTGTGGCTTAATATTTTCATTACACAACAGAGAACACCCACATCACTCAGACAGTATAAAAAGTTTTATTGACAAGTTCAAAATATGAAAGTCTTCATCAAAAGCTGGAGAAGTTGCTGTACTGGTGGACCCAAAGCATCCTAAAAGAAGCGAGTTCAGATTTCCATCAGAGCAGAATCTGGGAGGATTGAAGATCAAGCATGAAGGCTGGAGGGAGATTTACAAAAACAGGAGATTCACAATAAATAAGACGACATCTCAGACGAATCATTGAGAACAGACAGCGTCAGGGGGGGGGGTCACACACAAGACTTCAGGCGCTGCTGGTCTGCTCGGTCTTCACGGTGCTGCGGAGCAATCAAAGGCATACGTCAATTTAAAAACATTTAATGCATCTCAGTCAAACATGCAAACTACGGAAGCTGAGAGCGGTCATAGCCAACTTTTTTCTTTCCTTTGCCCCCTCGAGATAAAGACATAACTATCCCGTTATCACGGTTAAACCATTCATTATTTTCTCGAGATAATTATCTCGTTATCAAGGGAAAACAGTTACTGATTTCTTGAGAAAATTAGATGATTAACCTACATGAGTAATAAATGAGGCTGACCAACAGCCCTGGATTCCCAGTCCATCCATGCCTGCGGTGCTCATAGCAAATAATCAGTTTTTTAGTTTACTTTTTCTTTTCACTCATTGTCAGGTTGTGGTGGATGATTGGATTGCATGGAATGCAGTAGAAAAAAAATATTTTTAATGATTATAATTTAATTTATACCCGTTAGAGGCGTAACCCCGGGGCTGTTCAGGAAAACATCCGGCAGTAAGGCGCTGCTGTAGGTACCAGATCTGCTTCCTGCTTCATGCCAGTAATGTTATGCTACATGATTTGCTGAACGTTGCCATATGAAATAAAACATAGTGGTTGCCCAGACAACGATAATAACATCACACAGCGTCCGTTAGCTTCTCTAATGGCCGATGAAGTTTTACCCGATCGATAATAAAACTGAAAACAATCTGTTCATGGTGAATAAAGTAACTGTTAGACTGTGATATAAAGGGGAGAGCTGGGTAGAGCTGTGGCTAGCTGTGCTCAGTAGCTAACACGTTAGCATATTTTAGCTCGGTCAGTTAGCCTTATTAAGATACACGACTTTTAAATTTGTATCAACAACTGTTCGTATTCCACAAGTAGAAAAACTGTTTTCTTCGTCTAAAGTCTCTACATAAGTCATTTTTTAGGATGCTCCATTTGTCCTTCCTGCCCTCAGACCTTACCGTAATTTCGCGACTATAAGGCGCATATAAACGTCTTTTTTTCCCCTCAAAATGTGCAGCGCGCCCTTTGGTGCGGTGCGCCCTATGTGTGTTGTTACTGCGGACGTTGTTGAGACCACCATGAGAACGTTAAAGGGGGAAGTGTGGGCGTGGATTGGCTGCCACGCAAATGGACAGAAACTGCCGCCTATGGTGATTTTTAAGCGAAAGACTTTACCTAAAGAGACTTTTTCAGCTGGAGTCGTTATTAAGGCAAATGAAAAGGGCTGGATGGATGAGGAGATGATGAAAGCGTGGCTGAGGGAGGTGTATGTGAGGCAAAGGGATGTGACTCCATGCGTGCCCATCTCACAGCCGATGTGAAAAACAAGGTGAAACAAATAAACGCTGTGCTTGCTGTTATTCTGGGAGGTCTGACAAAGGAACTTCAACCGCTCGACATCGGTGTGAAGCGGCCGTTCAAAGTAAGGCTGCGAGCGGCGTGGGAGCGATGGATGACAGACGGAGGCCACAGTTACATGAAAAATGGAAGGCAGCGCCGGGCAAGTTACGCCACCATTTGCGGATGGATTGTAGATGCTTGGACTAACGTGTCTGCTGGCTCTGTTGTTCAAGCTTTCGCAAAAGCTGGCATCATTTCCAAGGAGCCGCACGGCACAGAAAGTGACTCTGACAGCGAAGAATGGGAAATTGGCATGTCGGATTTAGCGCAGCTGTTTAATTCAGAAACAGAGGATGATGACTTTGATGGGTTTGATTAATACTTTGTAATAAATACATGAATAAAGCACAAACATACTCAGTTTTACTCCCGCTCTATTTTTAAATACGCAGTAGAGGTATTTAAACGTAGTAGAGGACATGTACCGGTATATAAAACCCGCGCCCTATAGTCCGGTGCGCCTTATGTGTGTGTTAAATACAGTAATGGGACACATAACTGAGACTGCGCCTTTTAGTACGGAGAGCCTTATGGTCGTGAAAATACTGTAATATAAAAGAGCTGAGACTTTTGTCACCTTTTTAAATGGCAGAGCTCAGTCCGTCTTAGAAGGCAGTACTTTCCTTTAAGACTGACAATGACTGTTTTCTACTTTCCACTACTTTAGATCGTCAATGAAATGTAAAATATCAGCAAATATAGGGAATAATATGTTGAAACTCAAAAAGAGATTTGATCCTTAAGAAACGGGTGCAATGCAGTTTGTCCGAGTGGAGTTGCCATATGTTGACAACCTAAGAAGGGGCGGAGCAGATCTGGTACCTAAAACGGAGGCACAGGTCTAATTGCTTATGAATCAGAAGTGGAAGTAAATCATCAAACCAACGTCTTCTCGTTACCTAAAAGTTAAACAGGATTATTTACAGAATTACACACAGGCTGCCATGACTTCTAAATCCTCCCGCTGTTGTGGCATTGAAAGATGTAATCTGTTTTAACACACACCAAACATCTCGTTATCAAGAGAAAACGGCTTTCTTTATCTTTAGATAATGAGAAAATGAACTCGTTTACTTGAGAAAACCACCGTGAAAAAGTATCAGAGGGACACGGCTGCTCTGGGCTTCCGTAGAAAATTCCTCAGGCTTTCCAAAATGTTCTACCTTTTGCTTTCAGCCTTTTCTGAGCTGCTCTCTTTCGTCTTGTCCTCTTCTTTAACGTCTGAAATGGAGAAAACCAAAGATGCAGATTAAATCCCAATCCAGCTGCATCTCTTTATCACCTCCATGTCTACCGTTACCCACCGACTTTCTTCTCCTCGCTCTCCTTCTTGTCCTCGTCCACCTTTGGCCTTTTGGCTCCTTTCTTGTGATTGGCTGTGTTCCTCCGCCCCCCCTGCCCCTCATCCTCAGAGTCAGAAAACTCTTCATCACAGGCTATCCTCTTATCAGCAGCACGAACTGCAGTCACACAGAGACAGAGGAGGCAGAAGGAGTTCATAGAGAGTTTGACACAAAAGTAGGATGATTTTGTAAACCCGACTTTTTTTCTTCCAGAAACCAGCATTAACCATAAGAACTGAAGCCGTTAGGTTTGTAAAAATGGCAGCAGTCACTTCAAGAGGGTTTAGCTCCGGCTGTCAGGAGAGCAGCCTTACTGGAGATTCGTTTGTCAGGGTCTTCAGCGTCCTCGTCCACGGTGTCGTCTGGGACGGCGTCCTCTGGGATCGCCTGCATCTGGACCCCCGGGGCGTGAGGAAGCATCCGCAGGTTCTCAAAGAGCCGCTGCCTGAAAGGTCAGAGTCCTTGGTTCATTAGCAGCGTTTGATCGTAGCAGCTCTTCACTGGATCTAAAGAAAACACAAACAATCCACTACATACTTGATCTTGTCCGTGTACTCCTGCGTGTTCTGGTTGGTCATGTTGGAGGGGCTGATGTGCAGCTTGAAGTCAGGTCCAAAGTACTCAAAATAGTCGTTGTATGGCAGTTCTGCAACAGGAACAGCATTGGAAGAGTTAAGGCTGGTTTATACTCAGAAACCAGGTCGTCTGTGTGTGTCGGTTAACGCAGATATGCCCCGCCCCCCTGCCGCAGACACTCTGCTGCATCTCTCTCAAATTGAAGGTGACTGCAGACAGGAGGCCTCTGATTGGTCCCCTTTGTGGACAAACATCAAAAATGAAGCAGCAGAAGCTTACGCTCTGAAAGTAGCATTAGAAGAGTGAGTTTAGCACCAAGATGGCCTCACAGGGACGAAGTGAAGAGCTCATGCAAAGCTGCAGGACGGACAGAGAAAACAGAACCACTTCAGGTCGTTTTCTTAGAAGCGATGAAGAACCAACCATCAGGGATGTCCGTATCCAGAGCCACAGCTGTCTCATAGGTCCAGCAGCGAGCCACGTTACGGATGGTGTAACCTCCCCCTCCCAGCATCAGCAGCGGCAGGTTGAACGACCTTATGTACTCCACACACTTAGCGTGACCTGGTTACACACAAGGACAAACATCAGACCTTTTCCACGGATCTGAACTGCGTGGTGAATAGATATCCGCCTGTACCTCTGATGGTGAGGTTGAAGCAGCCGAGGCGGTCTCCAGAGAGAGAGTCTGCGCCACACTGGAGCACCACGGCGCTGGGCTGGTACATCTCCATCACCTTAGCCATCACCTGCAGGATCACAGTTATGTAACGTTAAGGAGGTTCCTGCTGCTGCCGCAGGGCTCCAAGGATCGTCACATGTTCGACGGTCTGCCTCCTAAAGACCATCATGAAGGGCCAAACAGAAGGACCAGTTCCACCCGTTTAACCGATCCCTGATATCGCTTTTCCTTCCTCCAGTTAAGACCTTGTCACCTGTGCAACAAAGTTGGACCTCCCCAAATGGCATTGCCTCTTATGTTACGTTCAGACCGGACGCAGCAGGAGCAGCAAAAACTTGTATTTTAAGGAGGGGCAAAAGGCAGTAGGTAATATCCCACAGTGTGGCCGATATCTATCAAAAAATGTGTTCAATCTAATGACTTAAATTACATCCACTGACAATTAATGGATTGTCATTGTCAGTGGATGACAATGACAATGACAGTGCTTGCAGCACCCTCTGCAAGCACAAGAGGATGCTGCTGTTCATTCATAATGGTAGCCTCACTGGTCTTTGCAATAGAAGTAAAGCCAGAGAAGAGGCCTTTTAGAGCAGAATAATGAATGGATCCAGATTATTTCCACTCTTTAATGGATCCAAGGATGCAGGATTAACTTTGTTCTGGTTATACTGGTCTATAGTTATGCTGCTATAGGCTTAGACTGCTGGAGGACATAGGGACACATTTCATCATTCTGCTTCATTCTATCTCTGTTCTCCCACTCTGCAGAATCTGTTAGTTCAATCTCTAACGTTCTGCTCTCTCTGCTTTTTCTCATAGTAGCTTCATCTGGTCTGTTCCTGTTTGGCTGTGACTCCACCCTGGTGAGAAATATCAGCTGTGCTGCTGCCATCAACACCTTTGATTATAGATGGAGAACAGCCTGTTTTTCAGTGTAGTCCTGTTTCTCTGACTGTGACTAACTGGATGTGCTCTCTTCATTGCCTTTTGTATCTATGCTTCTTTTTGTATCTCTTCTTCTGTCTCCTTGAACCCCAGTCGGCCTCAGCAGATGGCCGCTCACACAGAGCCTGGTTCTGCTTGAGGTTTCTTCCTGTTCAAAGGGAGTTTTTCCTCTTCACTGTCGCTACAAGCATGCTTAGTGTGAGGGATTGCCTTTCAGTCAATGAGTCGATGCAATCAACTGGTTTTCCTTAGATAGAAAACTTTGAATCATTCTGACTTGGATGATCTGGTGAACTGGAAAGTGCCTTCAGATGACATATGTTGTGAATTGGCGCTATAGAAATAAACTGAATTGGTTCTAAATATAAACTCTGCATAAACTCCTTCAGTCCTCAGAGTAGCTCCCATTAATCTGTGCTGCATGGAGGAGCAGCAGAACTTCTCTGCTTTACTTGGAAAGCGAGGATGTGATGAAAGTGGAGGGCATTACCATAAACATTTCTAACATGACAGAAAGCAACATGATGGCAGTGGGCTCTATGCACAACTCCACTACTACCTGAACTTAAGGCAGCTCTTTTGTTTCCTGTCTTTCATTACTGGATTATCTCATTAATCCAGGTGTGTCTGGCCATGCTTACCGAGGTCAGACACACCTGTATTAATCAGTTCATCCTGAAGAAAAAGACAGGAAACAAAAGAGCCCTCCTTAGTTTCTGGAAGTAGTAGAGTTGTTCATAGAGCCCATAAGTACCGTAGATGGAGGCTTGTTTGATCTGATGCACTTTATAGAGCCAAACTTAAACATTCAGGGCGACCAGAACCAGAACCACCGGTTTAAAGCTCTACTAACAGCATTAAGTCTTTTCCAGCACTGATTGTTGGATGAAAAACAGGTCCAGGTGTTGTATACCACCTGTATGGCTGCAACTAACGATTATTTAGCAAATCGATTAATCTGTCAATTATTCTGTTAATTAATTGATTAATAATCAGAAAGCAAAAAGTTCAGTAAAGAAGGGTTTTTACGAAACTAAACATAATGATGGATGAAAAATTTGTGATTTATCTTATGAGTATTGTGGAGGATTTTTTTTACGACACGCCCTCTCAACTTAAAGCCCATTTCTTGTCGTGCACGCGCTGTTTAAAAGGTGCTGTTCTCATAGCTCATACAAGCTTACTGTGTCCACATATAGCAACAACTTTATAGTGAACTCAGTTAACTGACTGTTTGGACAGATGATAACTTTTCTGTAGGTCCACTGCTCTGTGCCTGCGCTATCTTTGTTATCAGTCGCCGCTGTCGGGTAGCTGCAGCCTATGGAGACCGGGGCCCGCAGTGACAGCAAATCCCATAATGCTTTTCGAGGAGAGCTCTCAGTGCAAAGCCTTCTGGGATATATCTGCTTCTTCTGAGGCCTTTTGTTTTCTTCTTATTCACTTCGTAGACACTTTTTTTCTTATGACCTTCTGCCATTTTCAAAGCTCCAATGACTGTTTGAAACTGTAGCTCACCACAGATATACGCCTGAAAGTGCGCATGCGCAGAAAAAGATAGATAATGGGATGAGCATGTCGGACGGCCTAACATAAACATATCACCAGAATGATTGACAGTTAGGAGGACCACTTATTTAGATGATCCACCCGGAAATAAAAGATCGTCCTCTATACATTTAAATGCAAAATGTTTATATACGCATATTTTTCAAATTTGATATAATTTATATAATTGATAGAATTTATCATAGCTATAGACACATTTTAGATTTTCTATACTCCACTTAATGATTAATGGAGTACTAAATTAGATGACAATAACTTCAATAATTGATGAATCAGAATACTTGTTTCAGCCCTAACCACCTGCAGTCATTAATGGTTCAGTCTGCGGTCTTTCTAACCATCCATAGATACACTGCATCCTTAGAGTTTTCCTTTTCTTTGATTCTTACAGATTGGGACACATTTAGGAGGAAAAGGTCTGACTGACTTGTCAAAAACATCCAGTTTTTTTTTTTTACTTACAGGTTTGAAGATTTGTTCGTAGGACTCGTCATCGATGCCGTCCCGCAGTGGGAAGTTGACAGCATAATATTTGCCCTTTCCAGCTCCGATGTCCTACAGCAGAACACAAACCAACATCCCGATCAGTCTCTGATCTCCACACAGAGCAGTGACTCCATCAACAAACTCGCAGCTGGGTTTTCTGCTTTCACTCCGGTGATCTGGCGCTCACCCTGAGGTCTCCTGTTCCTGGGAAGTATTCCCCGTATTTATGGAAGGACACGGTCATGACTCTGTCTGTGGTGTAGAAGGCCTCCTCTACACCATCTCCGTGGTGGATGTCTATATCAATGTAGAGCACCCTCTGGTGGTACCTGGGGAAAGGCGCACCACAAACAGGCCTGGAATAAGTTCGGAACTTGGAAAATGAAAACCACTGAATAAAGAAAATCTAGTATCACCCAATCCAAGAGTTGAAAATTTAACACTAGGACCCCCAGAATTCTACTATTCCAAAAAAGAGAAAATTAAAAACAACCCACAGGACTTTTTGTCCAAGTTTGAAGACGTTTCAGTCCGTGTATCTTTTGGTCATTTGATTTTACTTTCAGAAACGGGAATTTAAAAAAACAAAACAAATGGCGATTAGATTTTTGTTTTAAAATATAAAACAGGAAATTAAAATTCAAAGCGTTATATATAGGGATTGGGATCGAAACCCGGTTCTATCAAGGACCCGGTTCCACTTTTTTCAAAACCCGAAAATCAATAACGTTTGGGCTTATCGATACCACTATCGAGTCTGGTCGTTTTTGTTTTTTTTCTCCCGGAGGTCCTGTAACATAATTGTGTGTCCCTCAAGTCGTGTCACAGCATTTAAATCTAATCAATCACTGCAGCATGTCCACCAATGTTTTGGAATGAAATTGTAAGCAAACAGATATTAAAAGTAAAACAAGTGAAGTCTGGCAGTTAACTTCGCTCGCGACTCAGCTTCATTTTACCAAGCTCAAAGATAAAGAAGCGAAATGCAACTTATGTTGCAAAATCATCTCTTTTAAACGGGGGGACACAACTTCAATGGCCAAGCACATTAGTATTGTGCATGAAATAAAGGCCAAATGCAGTACCTTCGACTGTCTCCGGGTTGAAAAGACTCCTCCTCCTCCTGCGGCTGCCGCCGCACCACAGTCGGGCCCGTCTTCATCATCCACTCAGAGTACCACTTGTAAGCGCGCACACAGACTTTGTAGCTTGTCCGGTCAGTTAAAAATAGTAATTGTGAAATCCGTGTTGTAATCGGCAGCATACAAGCTAGTTAGCTTGAAAAGTAAATAAAGTTTCAGACGTGCTGCGTGATGATGTGTTCAGATTGGCTCAGTAAAACGACACTTAGGTTATTATGATGCGTTCAAGTGTAACGTAAAGAAAAGGGAAATTGAGTTTTTGGCGAGAAACACGAGTAATACAGTTGTATATTGCTCTAATTAATTTAGAATATATAATTAAACTACTGATGCCAACATTTATTAAAAATTACATTTAATTTAAAATACAATTATTTATTTGCCAAATATTTTCCTAATCACTAAAAACATTATGAAAAGTGACAGTAGACAATACATTAACCAACAATTGTGAAAATGTATATATTTTTTTTTAAACCAAAAGAAGACATTTCTTCAAATAATTTTTTCCCCCCACTTCCTTTCTGTCTGTTAAAAACATATTGTTGCATCGTCTTTCCACCAAATAACAGAAAAGTATCGATAGTGGTATAGATAAAGACTCGGATCGATAAGGAGTATCGATAAAGGTATCGATATCAATAAATATTAACGATCCCCATCCCTAGTTATTTATATGCTTATAGCTTTGTAAGAGACATTAAGTGAGATGATGTTGTTGGGAACTTAAGTCATTCAGGGTAGATTTTATTCTTGTTTCTGCAAAGTCACAGCAAAGTTAAACTTTAAGTTAAACCTAAACTGAAGTACCATTACTGTAAGTTTGTGGTCTAACAGTTCTATTTGCTTTACTGCCTCCTTTTATGATGTCTTTACCCCTTATAGTTTATATTCCAGTACTAGTCACTCTAATTTTATTGTTTAATTAATGTTAAGCATTTTGAATTGGCTCCAATGCACCTAGGCTTTCTTGCTTCTTCCCTGCAAGCCAATAAGACTCCACCACTAGATGAACAGAGGACATCCAAAGCTTTGGTCAGGAAGGTTTACACTATAGTTATAAGACATTACCTGGCACAGTACTCTGAATTATTCTAAAAAAAAAAAAAGAAGTTATTAGTAGTAGAGAGAATGAAAATATTTTCCAAGTTATTATCTTCATCTATATCCGAAAAAGGGAGAATTGGATGAAAGGCTGATTTGTTACAATTATTGAAAACAGGTCAATCCTTTTGCAACAGGGTAAATTGTCATTCAAAATGGCCAACTTCCTGTGGGGTTTTCCCCAATGGCTTGGGGCTGATGGTTTGAATTATTTTAATTCTTGGGGGCGCCGTTGTGAAATTAGACCCCACCCACAAAATATTGCTCTGGATTCCTGTTTGGGGTTGGTCTAGGATCATCTCTTGTGATTTTGGTGCAGATCTGATTATTAATGAGGAAATGAGAGCAAATAGTATTTTCAAGGCGAAATGCCTCAATTTGCCAGATTTCCATGGCAACAGTTTTAAACTAAAACCATCTGTGCTTTAAATGAAGTTAGACCAACGTGTTTTCTGCTTTCTGACCGAGTTTCAAGGTGATGAGATTAAAAATGACAGAAAGGGACCCTCCCAAGTGAAAAAAGTGACTTTCGGTTTTCCCCATCTCATGTTAGGGGGCGCTGTGGAGCCATTTGGCCACGCCCATTTTGAATTCCAATAAATTTCGTAAATTTTCACAGGGGGACAATTTACTGCCAAGTTTGGAGAGTTTTTGAACATGTCAAAGCCTCCAAAAAGCTGCTTCTTTTGTAAGGAGAAAAATAATAAACGGCACAGATATAATAGGCCTTTGCAGCGCTGTCGCTGCTCGGGCCTAACAAAAAAAAAAAAAAAATCCCTAAATAAGGCTGGTGTCTTTACTTCATAGAAATGCTTGCTGCTGAACTTACTTGAGCAGCTCCAAAATAGCCAAGACGATGTCGTTGACGTAGCAGAAGCCTGAGGCTTCAGACTTCTTAGCGTGGTGGAGACCTCCAGCCCAGTTCACAGCGATGTCCGTCTGCTGTCGGTTCAACTTCACCGATCCAGCTGAGCCAAACAGAAGCCGGTTAATGTCACAGGAAGCAATGTGTCATGTAGATACCGTTTAAAAAGATCGAAGGATGTTTCTGTCCCTGCAAAGACTCTATCAGGAGGCGTGTCCATTTGAAGGGAAATTCAGACCACAGAGTTTGTTCCATCTTCTTCCTATTTATCCGGGGTCGGGTCGCTGAGGCTGCAGTCTAAGCAGTGACGCCCAGATTTCCCGATCAACACGCCCCCTCCAGCTGCTCTGGGGGGACCCTGAGGCGTGTCCTGGGCCTTCCACGAGGCCTCCTCCCAATAGCACATGCCTGGAACACCTCCTGAGGGAGGCGACCAGGAGCTGAGCCACCTCAGCTGGCTTCTTTCAATGTGGAGGAGCAACGCCTCTACTCTGAGCTCCTCCCGGGTGACTGAGCTCCACACCTGATCTGGAAGGGTGCGCCAGGCCACTCTGCGAGGGAAACTCGTAATCTTGTCCTTTCGGTCATTACCCAGATCTCATGACCATAGGTGAGGGTGGGAACGTAGATCGATCGGTAAATTGAGAGCTTTGCCCCGCGACTCGGCTCCCTTTTCACCATGACAGTCAGATACAGCGACCGCATCACTGCCTACGCCGCACCGATTCGTCTATCGATCTTCATCTGTGCCTCACTCGTGAACAAGACCTTGAGATACTTGAACTCAACTTGAGACAAGGACTCTCCACCAACCTGAAGAGGGGAGTCCCCCTTTCTCTGGTGGAGAACCATGGCTTTGGATTTGGAGGTGATGATCCTCTTCCCGGCCGCTTCACACTCGGCTGCAAACCACCCCAGTGCATGCCGAAGGTCCTGGTTTGATTAGGCCAACAGGGTAACATCATATGCAAACAGCAGAGATGATATCCTGAGGTTCCCCACACTGGACACCCTTCGGTCCTTGGCTGTGCCTAGAAATTCTGTCCATAAATGTAATGAACAGAAGCCGTGTCGAAGGGCAGCCCTGGCAGAGACCAACATGCACAACAGGCTCCTGCTGCAGTCATACAGAGAGCAGACAGCCTTTAGAGGGCACCGGACCCCATACTCCCGCAGCACCCCCCCACCACAGGGCACCATGAGGGACACAGTTGAAAGCCTTCTCCAGATCCACAAAACACGTGTGGACTGGCTGGGCAAACTCCCACGAACCCTCGAACACCTGATGAAGGGTACAGAGTTGGTCCAGTGCTCCACGACCGGGATGAAAACTGCATTGTTCCTCCTGGATCTGAGGTCCGACCATCGACCGGATCCTCCTCTCCAGCTCCCTGGAGTAGACCTTACTGGGGGGTTCAACCACTTTAAAAAAAAACAAAAGTACAAAAAGCATAAAATACTAACAACAAACTAAATTGAAAGCAAAAATAAAAACTGAAATAAGAACTTGACATTTAAAGGTGCAGTAGGAGATCTTTTCCAAGGCATTTTTTAGCATGTGGCTTAAAAATCTCCCCACAACCACTCTGCAAGCAGTGGAATAGAAGGTCTGGAAGTGAAAGTAAAATAAATGGTCCCCGCTACAGTGAGAAATCAATGAATAGCCCCAACCAATCACAAAAGACGGTCCGTTGTACACGATTGGTTCCTGACATGTCGAACGTGGTCGTCTGCCTGTCCCTCCCCCCCTGTGTGTACCCTGACACATGAACGAATCGACCCCCCAATGCTTGTGCAGGACGCCATGGCTGGAAGCTAGCCACCGCTATGCTACGTTCACACCTAAAGCAGTAAGAGCAGCAAAAACGTGCGTGCTGCTTCATTTTTGATGCTTGTACAAGTTTAGTTCTGACGCGCGGCTGAAGCAGATTAGCTGCTCTGGCTGCATGGTAGAAAAGTGATCTGATGCGCGTTGGGAGGAGCTACCCTACCCTTTCTTTGCCTGTAACAATGGCAGCTATATCTCCTGTCATCAGTGGGTAAAATGTAGCTTGAATTTTTTTTGAAGTGAGAAAGTCCACCTGAGAACATCGTCAGTGCATTATTTCAGTCAGACCACCGTACACTGGCGGTGCGATGTCACTGGGAATCCCATTCAACAGCAGCCTATGGCCCGGTCGTCTCTTCGCGGTTGGCCGCGGCGGTTGGAAGGCGTTTTTTAATGTACGTAATCCAAACTGCAGGCACCAGGATAATAAAACTGAACATGTTTTGCCGGCAGATTTCAGCATTTTAGGTTAATTTAGGCGTTAATAAACTGTTTCAGAGGAGGGATTATAGAGCTCCGCATCATCAGCGATGCTCTAGACGCGTTGCAGACAGCATGCGCGTTAATGTGTTTTGAGGGTGTGGTTTCGAGGGGTGGTCTGAGGGGAGAGGCATGGTTGTGTATGTTTAAAAATATAGCTTGCTGGAACCGTTTTTTCACAAGATCTCCTACAGCACCTTTAAAGAGATTTGAAGTGAAAAGAAAAGAAATAACTTTTCTGGATGAAGTCGATTTTTTTAGTTTCAAAGTGGCGTCCCCTTAGCGTGGGGGCGGGCCTTAGATGACCAGGGTGTAAATGATGACTGACAACTTCAGGCGGATGGTTAAATATTTTCCAGGTTTGGCATTCATGAACTGTCTGAACTATGAATGTCTTCTAAGGTAAGTCGATATTCTGTTTTTATGCGATTGGTTTTGAAAATATTTTTCAGTCTAAACATTTCTTCCTTACAGTTTTAAGATAATTTTACTGAACAAACTTTATGGCTTCAGTTTGGCTCCGATCCTTCAGAGACTGAGAATTCCCGTTGATAGTTTAGCTCTGACCGTTGCTGCTGATGCCGTCTCCACACAGCCTCCTGATTGGCTCTGGCACCTCTTTGGGTTTTACTTTCTGAAATGTTCAGAGCTTTGATTCTTTCTATTCCTGCCATTGAACCTTACTTCTAAAAAAGTAGCCCAGACTCACCTGCAGACCCCCCCGCAGACAGCTGGCAGAACTCAAACAGGCCATCGAACACGGGGCAGTCCTCCCCCACATTGACTGGCAGGAAGCAACAGAAAAACCACAGTGACTTTTCCAGAACGTCCAGCTGCTCTCCAAACATCATGATGAAAACTCACAGCGCTGCATCTGCTTGCTGAACTCGGACATGTTGTCTGGCCGTATGGATCGGAGGAACTTGATGTAGTCGTCGCTGTGGTACTTTGTCATCTCGTCTGCGGTGGCTTTGTGTGGTCGCTGAGGGGCAAAAGGAGAGACAAACAAAACCTTAACACTACGTCACCCTTACAGCTACGTCTATAGTGTCGCTTCATCTCTCAGAGATTCATTAGTTGTTTTAATTGAGAAGAAAAGACTTGAAGTGCTGATTGGAGCTGCTGCAAACGTACGTAAACCTCCATTTTTCTGTACAGTCCGTAGTTCAGGAGCAGGTTGTGAGTCATCCGGATGCGATGCGGCTTCATGGGATGGCCTTGACCGTAGTAATAGTTCCCAATGTCACCTGCAAAAACCATACGGATCAGCTCAGAATTAAACCCAATTTTCATCTCTGTGCAGTTGATGCCATGAAGGGGAGGAGTTTCAAAATAAGCAGTAGTGGTGATTTACTGAGAAAACTGTTTAAATGCAGACAGATGCATGGATGAACAGGAACCGCACTGGAGCCGAGCTTTATTGAACAGGTTAATGGCTCTACCTAGCTATTCTTTAAAATAAATAAACAGATTTTTCTAAAAGATACTTTTAGTAAATCAACATCTGTTAATAAACATTTTTAATGTACAAATAACTATATATATATATATATATATATATATATATATATATATATATATATATATATATATATATATATATATATATACATATATATAGCTACTACACTACTATATAAATAAATTTTGAATGGCTACTACTACACATATATGCATATTAGGGATGCACGATATTGGGATTTTGGCCCATATCCGATATGCCGATATTTTAAAACTCATGTAGCCGATAATCGATATCGATACTGATGTTAAAGCTGGACAAAAAGAAGTAGTCATTGAAAATAGCAGTTTTGTTATCCATTTCTGACACTTTGAAAAATAATATACTCAAATATATTTTCATATGCTGATATCAAATTTATTTTTAAAAACGCGGTATCGATCTATTTTTCTTTCAAAATCTCGTGAAATTTCATCGTTCTGTTACAAACTCTCGTGATATTTTGCAAATTCTTGTGAGATTTTGTTAGTAAAATAGATCAATACCGCGTCAATATATCAACATATAAAAATATGGCAAAATTTCCTGAATTTTCGGGGGATTTCGTAGCATAACGATGACATATAGCAATATTTCATTAGTAAAAGAGATTGATATGGTGTTTTTAAATGGCAATATATCAGCATATGAAGATACTGGGATATTTTAATGTATCAGTATTTTTTCCCTCGTCTTTAGAAGTTTTTAAGTCTGTAAAAAAAAGTTTTTGAGGAAGTTTTTTCTGGGTAAATAACCCCATTCCTACCAGAACAGTGAAATGTTTACGTTTTTATAGATGAGAAACGATAGTTCAGTGGGTGAAACGGACGTGCAGAGAAGTTTAAACCCCATAGACCCCATCTCTGCAAATCTCACAATCTCTCTGGAAGTCTCCTGATATCGATAGTTGTTCACGGTTGCTTGCGAGTCGGATAAGGCAAGTGAGCGCTATCAAGCAATACAATATTTCGTGCATCATGTGCGGATTAGAACTACTTCAATTGCGCAGAGAGATCAGGGGTTGAGGATGAGGTTGCTTGTGAAACCTGTGCAGCGTTTCTGTCCAAAGCGATGCTCTGTTCAACCAGCGTTCCAGGCAACTGGTTGTCAGTGCACTGATTGGATTAGTCAGAAAAATAAGCCAATAAGTTTCGGTTTACTCTCTGATAGTCACCTAGTTACCACTCAAAGCTGTGCATCCTGTAAAATAGGTTGAATCCTCCAGTAAAAAATGAAAATATAAGACTTATTTTACAGCAGAATCTACTAAAGTATATCCATGTCTAGTGAAGGTGAAGAATGATGAAGTGTGTATATACGGGGCACGGTGCGGGTCTGTTGTCTTCAGATGCGGACTGGAGGCGGTTATATTTTGTATATTTATATGTTTTAAAAACAAAGCGGGGCGTGTATGACGTCATCCACGCCCGCGGACTACTGTTCATTCTTCCTGCCCGCTGAACTGCTGCTAGTTTTCCTCACATGCCTGGAAGATGTCTAGTTCTGCTACCACAGATGATCTCGCTCTCCAAATGGAATTGAACGATTCAGATTAGCTAGAATGAATAGAAGGGATAGAGCGTAGCCGCCTGTGGCCCGGGCTGCCTCTAACAACTTCAGTCCGGCGTCATACACACTCCGCTTTAGGGCTGGAAGATATAGAAAAAAAAGCTTATCGATAAAAAGAAAATGCATATTGATCGATATCGATAATTATTGAAAAGATCTGAAACCATATTTTATGTGCAGCTATGCCTTGACTTTTTATGATATTGCTAAATGATTTAATTTTAATAAAGAACACAAACACAGACTTCCAATTAAATATTTATTTTAGAGATGCACAATATAATCGGCCCCCTATCGGTATCGGCCTTAAAACTGAATATCTTGGACATCGGCCACCCCACCGATATTTAACCCGATATTTGATCAGCTTCTGAGTTTCTAAAGTCTAAAAAAAATAATAATAATTAGGGCTGCAACAACGAATCGATAAAATCGATAAAAATCGACTTTTAAGAGCGTTGGCAACGAATTTCATCATCGATTAGTTGTGTCGCGCGATTATTGCGTCATCCGCTGCGCCGTCATCACTGCCTCTTGACTGAAAGAGGAAGGAAAAAAAATACGGCAGAGCGAGTCAGCGCCGCAGGAGCAGTGTTGCCAACTCAGCGACTTTTCAGACCCCTCCAGCGACTATTTTTCAAAAAAGCGACTAGCGACAAATCTGGCGACTTTTTTCGGTGTCACTGGTGACTTTTGGAGACTCTTACGTGAAAGCATGTATCATTCCTACTCTGCCGTGGGGCGCCTCCCCCACACCAACCGCGTTTTCCCGCAGGAGTCCCTCTCAGTCAGAGCCTCAGCGTCCAGACTGCAAATGAAGCGCGCATGCACCGGGATTGACGGCGCAAATTGATCACAATAATTAAAATAGCCTGCGCTTTGTAAAGTGAAAAAAGTGATAACATGCAACTTTTTTCAAAAGAAATGAACATGGCACGGAACCACCATGTTTGTTTGGTTTTAAAGTGGGGAAACGTTACGTTAGTTTCTCAGGTAGCTCATCTGATGCTTTCCTTATCTTGTTAGTAGGTTACAGACAGTGATAAGGTTGGCTACTTATTTTACTTTAAATTTCATTTGAACTAGCTTAAGCAGCGTTTACATTTACTTTATAAATAAATTAACTTGCAAATTATGAGGGCAAGACTTTTAAAGTTTAAATCTGGCAAAGATAAAGTAAAGATGATCCTGCAATTTATAGAAGTAAAGCAGAATAAAATCCAGCAAGATCAGTAATATGTCAATTAATTATCTGCCACATTCCCATGTAAATATCTGTCTTTGGAGGATGTGTTTTTTAGCACCCCTAGTTCTCTCATTTTTATTCCAAATACAATTTATAATTTGAATCACAGGCTATTTTTATCTCTATGGTTCAGTATTTTCTTAAGTAGCAACTTTAACTGCTGTACTTTCCTGTCTTAAAAGGCAGAACTCTTCTAGTCTAAAAAAAACTCATTTGTTGAAATGGGGGGCCTATTGTTTGAACCCCTTAGGGGCTTTTAAAAACAAAAATGTCTTTTTTTGCGCTTTATGAAACAAAGTACCCTATATTTTGTGGATGTACAGCTACATTTCTCATGTAATTTTGCGTAGTTTTAACACAAACATTTATTTTTCATATTGCACCAGTACAGGTAATGAGCAACCTGTACTTGTGTGCTTGTTTGTTCTGTCTATAATGTTTATTTTGGAATAAAGAGGTTAATATAAAAAATATTTTTTGTCCGATTCATCGATTAATCGAAAAAATAATCGTCCAATTCATCGATTTTTAAAATAATCGTTAGTTGCAGCCCTAATAATAATAATACTTCTTCTTGTTCCTCAAAAACTTCTTTTTTACAGACTTAAAAACTTCTAAAGACGAGGGAAAAAATATTGATACATTAAAATATCACAATATCTTCATATGCTGATATATTGCCATTTAAAAACACCATATCAATCTCTTTTACTAATGAAATATTGCTATATGTCATCGTTATGCTACGAAATCCCCCGAAAATTCAGGAAATTTTGCCATATTTTTATATGTTGATATATTGATGCGGTATCGATCTATTTTACTAACAAAATCTCACAAGAATTTGCAAAATATCACGAGAGTTTGTAACAGAACGATGAAATTTCACGAGATTTTGAAAGTAAAATAGATCGATACCGCGTTTTTAAAAATCAATTTGATATCAGCATATGAAAATATATTTGAGTATATTATTTTTCAAAGTGTCAGAAATGGATAACAAAACTGCTATTTTCAATGACTACTTATTTTTGTCCAGCTTTAACATCGATATCGATTATCGGCTACATGAGTTTTAAAATATCGGCATATCGGATATCGGCCAAAATCCCAATATCGTGCATCCCTAGTTTATCTAACCAACTTTTTTAACCATAACAGAATTGTTTTAAAGAAAAATAACTTAAGAGACCTGAGTTATGTTATTAAATACTGACAAAGAATAAACTAAAGTGACCAGAAAAGTGACCAAAATAAATATAAGAAATAAATAAATAGAATACCCTATTTGGGTGGGAATAGTACACCACCAGCTTGTGGTAATTAAAAGATTGTAGGACTAGGCTACCATGTAAACTCCACTCAACAAGAACAAAAACCCACATCAACTCACCCTTTAGCCTAGCTTTTCTATGGGGTATTTTTTCTCACCCCTATTCTTCTAGAGGTGCTGCTGGCACCTCGTTATGGTTCAGCTTAGTTTCCTGCTTTAACCTGAGTTATTACTTTGGAGTTTCTGGCCCCTCAGCATTTTTCTCTCAATTGTTAGAACTACGTGGGAAACTGCCCAGAACTGAATATATATATATATTTTCCCGAAATTCCCGAAGATTCCTCGGAGGAGAGCCGCGCCGGGGCCTACACAGCTCGTACTCCTGCGGGTGTGAGCAGCTGAGATGATAAAAAAAACAAGTTGGTTGTGTTATCAGACTTCGTTTTCACTGGTTCCCTACACATTTCACAGATGACTGTGGTTTGTTTTTTGTCCGACTTGCCATGACCGAAATACTGCCAGACTGCCGAACTACAAAAACCCATCTTTGGAACAATTTCCTCCGCCTCTCCTTCATGTGTGTTGTGGTTTGAGAGGGCGGCGCTTTGTGACGGCGTGCCTGGGTCCGCGATTGCGATTGGTTGGGAGGAAGCAGTGACTAGCATAAACCTACATGCTAGGCTACAATGAGAAGGAAGGAAAACTGTGTATCTTTATTGAACTTTTATCGATCCTCTTTTTTTCTATTGCGCCACACGTCTATCGATCGATATATATCGTTATTGAATTATCGCCCAGCCCTACTCCGCTTGGTTTTTAAAAAAATATAAAAATATAACCGCGGATGTCTGGGGGACACTAGCTACGTTTACATGCGCAAAATTTCCCCGATCCGATCCAAACCTTGGTTGATCGGAAATTCAAAATCTCCGTTTACATGGACACTAAATGAAATGATCCGATCATGACGTGTGTATACATGTACCAAGCGTTGGATCAGATTAAATCTTTTAAGCATGCGCAGAACTTCCTGCCAAACTCGGCAGTTCTGTCTGCGTCTGGTTTTTGGGAGGCCTGACAAACGATGCGCTCAGAGCGAGCGGAAAGAAAAACGGAGAGAGGAGGAAAAAAGCGCTTGGCAGTGAAATGTACGAGAGAAAATGTAGAGAATGAGCGATTGAACCGGCGTGGGAGAGCGATTGGGCTGTGGAGAGAGAAAAGAGGAAGAGGAGGAGGATAAATTCCTGCTTCCTGCAGCTTTAAATGAACTTGAGTGTATAAGTCGGCGTTCCTAGACTCCCCCCGCCATGTTGTTCACAACAAGAGCGAGAGCGACCGGTGGTTTCCTGTTGTTGACAAGGCGGAAAAACGTCACGCTGACGTCGCACACATGCGCAGTGAAGATTATTTTACTCTTAAGATCCGAATGGGTGTTTACATGGACGCCAATCGGAATGGCGATCGGCAAAAACCACCTCTCTCTTTCGGAATTAAATTTAGATCCGATCGGACCGAATCGGATTAGAATCTTCAGTCTGACATGTTTACATGAAACATTTTTGATCTGATCAGGCCTTGAATCCGATTAGTTGTGTCCATGTAAACGTAGCTACTGATTCACCCAAATGTTATGAATGGTGGCGTAACATAAAGAATAAATTATGAACAGTTTAGTTTGTGCTTTCAATCATTGCCCATAGGAAGACGTTACCTGGATATAACCTAACGGAATATCTTCAGAACTGCTCTAAATGACACAAAACTCATATGGGTGAGTTCAACATGATGGAATAACGTAAAATCAGGGCCCAATGCAAAAAAAAAGGTGTTCCCCTTTAAACACCAAGAGAATCTGTCTTTTCCGACTTCTGTCACTTCAGCCTGACAGAAATAAAAGTCAGTCACCAAACAGTTTTCCAACTCGTATTTAGTATTTATCATCTTTCATTGCTGATATAAGAGGATGGAAACTGGCTGATAGCAGGAAACAAATATTAAGAGTTCCTGAAAAGATGACAGTGTAGACTTTCTGGTAAATCTCGTTCTAATGTAAAATATGACAGATTACTGAATTATGGCCTTTTTAGTATACTACATGCTATCAATTTTTGAGAATTTGGAAACAGTTGGACTTTATTGCCCAAAGATATGGGAGGAGGAGAGGATGGACATTTCAGATGCGTGAAATAATCCATTCCTGCTTCATAACACGGGAAGAAATTAATTCACCTGCAAGTCTTTATCTTTGTTTATTCCTCTCTTCATCAACAACAAACCCTCTTGATTTGGTGACATTTGATCATTATTTGCCAAAGTTATGAGAGGGGAATCATATACTTTATCCACCTGCTATAATCCGTTCTCCCTTTGATGATCTTTATGAAATGCATTTTCTGTTCAAATGTTTATCCAACAATTTATAAATATTCAACAAAAAAAAAAACTCAAACCAAAACCACTACACTTTGTTTTCAAAGTTTGAAGATGTTTCGCTTTCCATCCACAAAGATTTTTTTTCATTTCAAAATGTCTGGAGCAATGCTACTGCAGACATTTTGAAATGAGAATTGGAAATATACATTTCATAAAGATCATCAAACCAACAGTCAGTTTTAATTTAAATATTTTGGATTTCAAAGTATAAAATAATAAATGTTTCAAATATGATATAGAAAAATAATGATAGTTTCAAAATTCGCATGTTGAACTTATTATATCAGGTTGCTAAAATATTTGCTTCCCTCCATAACTCTGGCAAATAATGATCAAATGTCACCAAATCTACAGTTTGTTGTTGATGAAGAAAGGAATAAACACAGTTAAAGACTTGCTGGTGAATTAATTTCTTCCCATGTTAGGGAGGGGAATTTTTATGTGTGATAGTGTGTAGTATGATAGAAATGTCCATAATCCAGTAATCTGTCATATTTTACATTACAACAGGATTTAGCAGAAAGTCTACTCCCTCATCTTCACCCTGATCTCCTAGAATCCTAGATCCTCCCCTGGACTGAAGGGAACCCTGGTGTAAATATTGGCCACTTGATACAAAAACCAGCATCATGTCGGGGTTAATTTCTCCACTTTTGCCTTAAAGATGTTTTAAAAATAAGCTTAAATGCAACTATATATATATACATTTGAAAAAACGGCGTTTTACCCGGACATTGTAGAGATATTTTAGTGTCTATATTTGTATAATATGCTTTAAATTAGTTGAAATGTAGCAGGCTGGGTGGGTGGGCGCCATTGATACGTCGTTAATCAGGCTAAGATGCTAGTTGCTAGTTAGCATCGCTCCAATCTGCAGCGGCAGTTAGCTTCGAGGCTAACGCTAGCCTGCAAGCTGGAAGAGCAAAAATTTAACACATACCGTCATAGTAGTAGCAGACCTTCTTCTTCGTCCCGCCTGCTGTAGTGTAAGCCATGTTGGAAGCAAAACAATGAAAGTTTAGTAATGTGTGCTCAGAAAGGGAAGAAGATGACCGACGTCAAGACAGCGTCGGTGATGGGCGGGGCAACCGCTGGAGGGGCGGGGCCGGGGTAGGAGCTAACCCGCTGAGGTGCGGGTACATCATCTGGGGCGGATTTAGGAAATTTGGGGCCCCAGGCAAAGACCGGTAGGGGGCCCTCTGAATTCAGAAGACAACACATAAAACAGACCCATTATACAAATAGAGAAATGTTAATAGAATAGACATCCATTCTTTGTTCTAGGTTGTGTCCCTCTCTTTTTGTCCCTTTTCTTGTTGTTTTCCACTCTATGTTTTGTGTTTTGTACTCAGCTGACTTTTCATGCTGTCTCAAAAGTATGGAGTCAGAAAGGGGTCAAAATGGTTGTTAAATCTTAGTTGAAACTGAAAAAAGAAAAGTTAAAAAAGAAAACTACTTTTAAGGGTAGGCTTAAAACTTTCCTTTTTGATAAGGCTAATAGAGTGGCTAAGGTTATCCTGAGCTATCTCTATAGTTATGCTGCTATAGGCTTAGACTGCTGGAGGACAAAAGGATGCCCTATTTCATCATTCTGCTTCATTCTATCTCTATTCTCCTACCCTGCAGAATCTGTTAGTTCAATCTCTAACGTTCTGCTCTCTCTGCTTTTTCTCACAGTAGCTTCATCTGGTCTGTTCCTGTTTGGCTGTGACTCCATCCTGGAGAGAAATATCAGCTGTCCTGCTGCCCTCAAGACATTTGTTTATAGATGTTGGAGATCGGCCAGTTTTACAGTGTAGTCCTGTTTCTCTGACTGTGACTAACTGGATGTGCTCTCTTCATCCTCTGATATGGGAGCTGGCTCGGAGCTCGTCTGCCTGGCTGTGAGTTTGCTGGACGGGGCCGCCTTTTACAGTTGCCTTTTGTATCTCTGCTTCTGTCTCCTTGAACCCCAGTCGGCCTCAGCAGATGGCCGCTCACACTGAGCCTGGTTCTGCTGGAGGTTTCTTCCTGTTCAAAGGGAGTTTTTTCTCTCCACTGTCGCTACAAGCATGCTTAGTGTGAGGGATTGTATTCGAGTCAATGAGTCGATGCAATCAACTGGTTTTCCTTAGATAGAAAACTTTGAATCAATCTGACTGGATGATCTGGTGAACTGGAAAGTGCCTTGAGATGACGTGTTGTGAATTTAGCGCTATATAAATAAACTGAATTGAATTGAATTGTACGAAAAATAACCTTTTAGTAATGTACAAAAAAATATTTAATTACTTAGTTTTTGGTGTGTTTTTTTTTTAAGCGTATGGCGATCTGACCCTAAATTGTTTGGGTTGTTTTGTACATGACTAAAGGGAAAAACACAAATCTGATGTCTTGAGCATGCATAGTGACTATGGGTATGCTCATCTGAAAAAGCAAGGGGATATACAGTGTCTGCCTCTTCTGAGGCCTTTCTTTTCCTCTCATATACTTCATAGACACTTTTTCGCTTATCACCCTCAGCCATTTTCAAAGAACCGCGTTAAGCATTACCAAAAGGAAAGTTTTAAGCCTAAACTTATAAGAAGGCAGGAGGTCGCTGCCTTACAGACTAAAATGGAGAGGTGGTCCAAAACAGAGACTGTATCCGGAAACCTGGGATTTCAGGTCACCGTAAACTAAACACTGAATCTTTGACCATTTCCATTTTACATCTTCCACAAACTGGGGTCTCCTCTCATGTTCTCTTCTTTTGAGCTCAGTCTATTTATTTTCTGTGTATTTTTAACCTGTAGTATCACTTCTAGTAAAGATGCCCTCCTTTTATTTGATGTTTTATTTAACAAAGGCCTCTCTGCACCATTGGAATGAAGGAAATAAACTTGAAAGGAAATAATGTTTGCTCCTGATCCAGTATCGATTGAAGAGACTCATAAATTCTTCACGCTCACCCCTGTGGCTGATAATATTTTAACATCTTCAATTGATTTCTAAAGCATACATAACTTATTTTGACCCCATTTGTAACAACTCTGAAAATTCATTCCTGATACGTAGATTGAATCATATATTTAATTTTCCTTTAGGCAGCAGCACTGTCCCATTTGATCTCAATGTTTAATTCAAAGTTCTAGAAGATGCTTTTGATGGATCGGTTCTGTAGAATAGATGAGAAATATGACTCCTCCTTTTTTTTCCTGTCTATCAAATCTCAGTTTTCAAAGAGTTTAAATAACTTTTAACTTGAAAAATGTTTATCTTTTTCTCTCTATCAGTAATTCCTTTTATGAACTTGGGAGCATTACTGTTTTGTTCATCATCTGATGGCTTCAAATATCTCACATGCACCCTAATGGGAATGATTGTCCTCACATCATCGGGTCCTCAGCATCTTTGCTAGATATCTAAGGGAACAGCCAATGGGAGGAAATTTAAAGGAGAAGTCTGGCCATATTCAGAATTCAAACTTCTGAAAGTACTTTAAATGTGAAATTATTCCATCCTGTTCAATAAATGATCAGTGTTTTTAATTCAGAGTAATTTTCATGTGAATGTGCTTTACTGGAGGCATCCATGTTTGTCAAAGAACACTACTGCCACCTACTGGTTTGTGACGTCACGGTGCGGTATCGGCTGTTGATCAAGTCCCAGTGCTGTATCTGGTGTTTGTCACAACGCGCTATTATCCAAGTCATCTTGAAAACATTCTTCTTCCAAATGTTGGCTACATATTACGTGTTTTTTCTCTGGCCAGAAGTTCGATGGCAAATCCTCCCTCTTCAAGTTGGCAATCCAACAACGAACCCGTCCGTGGAGGATCAGGAATCAGAAAGGTGAAATAACACTTTTTTTTTCACTTTTCCCCGATGTATTCCAACATCCAGCTGCCATGCACGTGGGCATTGTCAGTTTCACTATAGCTCTGGTGAATTTCAATGGTGAAGTCCTCTGGAAATCTTCAATAATTGTTGTTGATTGCAGATGTGTCTAGTAGTTCCCATTGATTTAGCTTGTAAAGCGGGGAGAATGGCGCTAGGCTTACAGCACCGTGACGTCACTGCTGGAAGATGGCAGGAGGGAGGGGCTACTATATTTGGGAAAAAATGGCTGCCCCCAGACTCAGTGATCATAATGAAAATAATATTTTTATTTTCAATGCTAAATTCACTAAATCACAGCGAACATATTAGTTTAAGGTATAGATATTGATCCACTGATCCAGGGCCGTGCAGAGACCACTAAAGGGGCAGGTGCTCAAAAAAAAAAAAGGGCACATCTTATCGCATTTTAGGACAGAATATTAACAAAGTCACATAGCTTTCAGAGTTTAATGAACAATGATAAATTACAAAATTGTGAGACATACAATCAAAGCAAAGGGAAATCTCTACATAGAACATAGAACTATGCATATGTAAAATATTTTATTAGTAATTTCTTTCTGCAGGTCTATTTTGTTATAGGAAAGTATTACAATATTCAAACCTGCAATTTAGCCAAAGATGTAAATCAGAGCTGGACCACCAGACATATTTTGTGTTTACAGAATTAAACTGTTAAAAATGCATACAAGGGCACAATGCAACCTTTTAGTGTACTGTAATCTATAAAAAGAATGTCTGCCTGGTTTGCTGTACTGACAGTGGAGATGGAGACGGTCCATTCAGAAAAGCAGAGCTGCTGCATCAAACTTTAACGTGGAACTGCAGAAAAAAAAGAACAAAAGCAAACATTTTATTAATGCATGTCACCATGAGAAAAGCCTACTCTGTTTGTGTCTTAGTGTATTTTGTAAGTACCTATATACATTTTCTTCAATCTTTCCTCTTCGTTTTTTCTTGTCAGTTTCTCTTTTCTTTTTTTCCTCATTGTCTCATCTTTTCTGTGTTGAGTGAAGGTCAATGTCTTATTTATTTCAGTCTCTTGCCTTTCTTTTCCCCCCAAACTAAATCCAAGATTATGATCCAAAAACGTATTTTCCGTCATGGTGATTTAACTGTTTAAAAACAAATTTCCAACTTTTAAGTATTTTTGCTATTTTTGTTCTCTTTTGTTCACAGCAGCAGTTTTCTGTTAGCCATGTCTTTAAAAATGTTAACCTCACTGTGAATGATTGGCACATCCTTCTCGATGCCAACAAAAGAAGGTCTGACAACCGATCCTCCTTGCATAAGCTGCGCAGTTTTGTTTTCACCAGCTTCATACATTATATCTGTCATATATCTATCATGGTAGTTCTGGATGAGTTCTCCTTCAAGATACATTTACCTAACGCTAGAATAAATGAAATGTACATCATGCAGCAAAAGAAATTAGAAAATCGGACATATATCCATTATGGAGATGATAGGTTTTTGACGGGCGATGTGCCCCTACTGCATAAGTAATACTGAAGAATGTCCTACTATCATTAACGACACAGGGAAGCTTTTTAGTTATCTTGCTTTGCTAGCAAAGTCATTAGCTAGCAGCTAGCTCATAGCACAAGAACAACAGCCTAATGTCTGTATGATAAAAATACTGAATCGATAGATAAGAACAGCTTTTCCTCACCTGGCTGTCTCCTCCCGCTCAGTAGTTCTTCAGAGAAAGGCGCGCCACGTCCTATACTTTCCTCCGTTTAAACCGCTACTCTTTGCTAAAGTAGAGAAATTATACAACGTTCAAAGTTTTCCATTGTCTGACAAGTAGCAAGCCTACTCCAGTATTTTCACCAAAAATTATGTTTTTTAATTCATACTGCCTCTGTTCTGTAATCATTACAGAACAGTTTTTTGTGAATTAAAAAACATAATTTTCAATGTAAAAGACTAAAAGCACAGAGTAAACAGTGTTTTAGATCAAACAACACTGCATCATCCATGGGGCTCATTTGGTTTCACTTACATCTCTATTCAGGTTGACATTGGAGAGGCGGTGCAGACTGAAGACATAGCCATCCGTCCGATCATGGTTGATCTTGCTTAGGGCCAAATGAGCAGCGGCCACAGTGTAATGTGGAATGTTCGCTACCTTAAGCTCCGCAGTTAGCCGCCTTATCTGACTGTGCGAGAGGCAAGTGCGTCGTCACCGGCAAAAGGTCAAAGGTAACAATGTGACCGGAGGGCTTATTGTATTGTTTTTCTTGCCAAAAAAAGATAATAATAATAATTTCAGTACATGTGTCAAAAAAAAAAAAAAAAAAAAAAAAAAAGGGACCAAAAGGGCACATTGGGATCATGGAGCAAAAGGGGCAGGTGCTCAAGCCCCCTTAGCCCCCCCCCCTCTGCACGTGCCTGCACTGATCATTCCTTGCTGACCGGACTTTTCCTTAAAGTTACGACACAATGCCTCATTTGATAACTTTGTCTGCATTAATTAAATCTGCTGGGTTTCTTTTATAAGATCACTTAATTCAGCCATTCACCAAAACACTTTAAGTTGACTTAAAAAAATTTATTGCCTCAAAAAGGTCATTTTTTAAAAAGTTTTTAGCCATAAGTTTGCACTGCTTAGCCGACTAACCTGTGCGACACATGCTAATGTACACAACTTCCTTTTAGTTTTCATCCATAATCTGTTTGTTTCTGTTGCCAAATGGAGACCTGTAGTATTTGTAGAAGGCTGGATCTGAATACAGTAAATTGTAGCTCCTAGCTTCTAAACCTTCACCTCTAATCAGGTCAACAGTGAGAACTCTATCATGACTAAAAAAGGGAACTCCAGACCAGGGCATGTGAACAGAAGACCTCTGATTGGTCAAATCTACATCTGCTCTACACTATGCGTATTTCCTGTTTGGCACCTTACCGGCTTGTTTTGTTTGTATGACCGCCATTGTGGAAAACGACTGGAGAAGATGGACCAGCTAGAAGAGCGAGGTGCCCAAGAACGCTGGGATCCTTTTTCCACCTGGATCTCCGCTCTTTTTGGCCCTCATGTCCCTCTGTTGTCGCACAAACTTTCCCCCACTTCCTCTCCGCCTCGGCCTTATCTAGACCCACAGCTAGTTGCTGATTGTCCCTCTGATGTTGTGGTGTGGAATATCATAGCGCAGACCACGCTCCAATACAGGGCATAAATAAAAAATGTCTGCATCATACCTGCGACACACTGCTGCGGGAGGATAACCAGCCCTTAAGTCTACCATGAATGCAGCACACAAGAGACATTACGTGTTGAAATGAGGGGCATCATCAAAGTGTTTGTTTTCAGATAGAGCAATGTTAAACTGATGTCACAATAAAGGCTGGCTTATTGTTTTCTTTACCGCCTTGTTCTTATGATTATTTCAGGCTAACACTGAAGTGCTAACCCAATTTCCTCCGGTTAATGCGCTTTTACTTGCAAAGAAGACACAGAAACGTACTGGAAAAACGTTAACATGTACATTTAATGTAATATTTTTGAACAACACAATTATGATACATGATGATGTTTCCATAGAAACGGACGAATGCTGCTGACCATCAAAGGACATTACTTCACCTACTGGTGCCAATTACAGCATGGCTTAGTGTGAGAAACCAGTGGGATATGAACCACATCATTAAATTTAAAAAACAAGCTCAGGTATGGACAGCTAAGATGGTTTTAGGGTTTCTTCTGACCTGCAACAATTTCTAAGCTACTTGATTGCATTTAGAGGGCGGCAGGTAAATGTGTGACTGTTTTTAAAAAGATAGAGTGAGAGCAGGCGGATTGGAGATCTGTTTCACACAGCATTTAAAGGAAAAATCAAGTGGTATTCAGAATACAAACTTCTGAAAGTACTTTAAATGTGAAATTATTACATACTGTAAAATAAATAATCTGGTGAATTTCAATGGTGAAGTCCTCTGGAAATCTTCAATAATTGTTGTTGATTGCAGATGTGTCTAGTAGTTCCCATTGATTCTGCTTGTAAAGCGGGGAGAATGGCGCTAGGCTTACCGCACAGTGACGTCACTGCTGGATGATGGCAGGAGGGAGGGGTTACTATATTTGGACAAATATGGCCGCTCCCAGACTCAGTGATCGTGATGAAAATTTTTTTTTTAATAAAAAAAAAAAGAATCACTCAAAATTCATTTAAATTAATTAAATCACCGCAAACACATTAGGTTTAGGAATAAATAAGGATTCATTGATTATTCTGTGGTGACTGGACTTCTCCTTTAAAGTTGTACGGCATTAAGTTTATCACAATCTTTGTATCGCGTATACACATGTACAACTCGGGTAAATCTCTTTCATTTTAACAATAACCAACCAACCAACTAATGCTACCACTGCACCGGGCCTTAGCTAGGACAATAGGCTAAAGGCTTAAGCTTAAACTGGAAACCAGGTTCTGATAAGCCTCTGCTGAAAATCAAAGGCAATTAACATCAAATAAGTTAGCCTAAGTAAGAAATCAGAGACTGAGAACCAACAGATGATGTCTGAACCTGTTGAACCATGGCATCTGTACCTAACATGCAGTTTGGTTTAAACAAATAACAAAAAACACAGAACTTTTTCTCATTTTTACTCTCTTATTGAATAAAAGGTTGACTTTTAAAGTCTATGATAATTCTAGAAATGCCTGTGAGGATTTTCTTGAAATGACCCTCTTTAGTTACTATGCCTTGCAGATGGATTCACACCTATTGAACGTTCATATTTTGCCATGTTGCAGCCATCAGCTTCAGGGCATTTGATTGAATCAAATTAAAATCCTATCGTGACAGATTTTTGTAATATTGGAAATCGATAGATTGTGATTAAAAATCTGGTCATTTACACCTGTGCTAAAAGAATCTGATAATGAACGTACTCTGATATATTCAGATTTTTTTAAATTTATACTATTTGCTGTGTTGACATTACAACAAGCAGAATATTACGTGAGGTATAAACCCTTCTGCAAGCCACTGTAAAGACCGCATTAACATTTTTTTTCACAGGAAAAACACTGACAGATAGGAAAACTGACTCTCTGCCTAACCTCTGAGTCCAAACATCAAACTATTGAGTCCCATTTTACACATTTAGAACAAACTTACATCAAGTTTTATCATTTGGTGTAACTGGTGTAACAGCACTAAATTAAACAAAGTGCTGTTACCTTATGAGACTATTGTCTTTATTGTTTTTTATGAAAACTACATTTTATGGCCAATTAAATGTTCTTCCTGTTATCTGGTAAAACTTTTGATTAAATGGGTGGAAGAACTTCTGCAGTTTAGTCACTACTGACAGGTCCACCTCCGGATGGATGCGGCCCTTGCTGCCTGCCAGGCACTTGTTGAAGACAATGTTAAATCGCAGACAGTAAAATCCCCTGGTGGCATTAAAGTACAGGTTATACTGGCTAATTCTGGAGGGAAGGTTGAGGAAGCGCTCAACCAGCTGCAGCTCAGGCAGCGGGTCTGTAATGAGGCGATCCCCGTCCACTATATGGAACTGCTCCACGGGGAAGTACTTGAGCCAGCGCTCCAGGTGTTTTGTGTAGATGCTTGTCCGAACTGCTTTGTATTTGGTGTTTACTTCGCAGGTGTTGGCATCAATGGCCAGATTTTCGAATTTGTAGTAAGTCTTGTTCTTGCGCTCCTTGCCCTCGAGTACCTGGGTGTAGTCGGACACGGCCCGGGTGGTGGGCTCTCGGACGATAATCAGCAGCTTGATGGAGGAGTTCATCTTGAAAATGCGCTCGGGAACCTCCTCCGTGATGAAATAGGCAGGGCTCTTCTCGATGGTGATCTGGTGAGGGAGGGAGAAGGGCATTTTACCCCTGTACCAGTCAATGCCCCGGGCGTAGTTTTTGTCATTGTCAAAGAAGTGAATCTCCTGCGAAGCCTTGACGACAGCCGGATGGAGGTTGAGCATTTCCAGCAGGGCGCGGGTGCCGCCCTTCCGGACTCCAATGATGATGGCCCGAGGCAGCTGCTGGACCAGGTTGTGAAGGCGTATTTGATCTTTGGTGGCATTGCCCTTACGTAATTCATGGAGCAGCCCGCGTTTGAACTGCAGCGTTCGGAGAGGGATTTGCTCCGGCTCAGGGGGGTGAAATCTGCTCTCAATGGGGCAAATTGGTTGAAGCCTGATAGAAACACAGATAAACAGATATCCTAAGAATTTAAAAAAACATTTATAATCTTTCATACAATAAGTTAAATATATAAGGAGTAATTTCATTCTTTTAAAAATGTCCTTCTAAATGCAAAAATAAAATCCTCTGGCCAATGCATCAGCTGCCAAATTCCTGAGATTAATGATGTCAGAAAGAAGGCCTCACAATCTTAACACCATGATATACAACAAAAAACACTGTATACACATTGTAGGACTGGCTGAAGTTGCAACTGATCTGGCCACTTCCTTAAACACAGGATCTAAGAAGTCTTTTTCTCAGCCTGATGCACAAACATCAAACTGACCTGAAGTGTTATGACGGTCTAGTTAGAGCAAATATCACTTCCCCTCCACATGCAGCACTTCTCCCTGCTACAGTTTCCCTAAAGGTCAAAGAAACTCATAGATGAAGCAATTGCTTCTGCACACTGCTCCCCCACACCTAGGTCAGAATTGTACTATTCATCCATCCATTTGTGACTGTCAGTGCCTATCTCCAGAAGTCTCTACCTGAACGGTGGAGTACAGTCTTGGGAGGAGGCCAGTCCATCACAGGCATACGTAGTGAGGACCGTGTGTTGACTTCCATTTATTTTTACTCATTTTCAACCCTTTCTATGCCCTAAAACTAACCATTTCCAATGCATACCTCACTCTAACCCTAGTCCAATTGACACCTTAGCCCTAAACCTAACCATTAGCAAAATAGCTTGTGAGGACCAGCAAAATGTCCTCACTTTACAACAACTGGTCCTCAATCTGATGGTGAAATTGGAAAAAAAATGGTCCTCACTCTGATGGCTAGAAAGGAAAACACACAATCACGTTTGACTTCAATTGACTTCCATTCATTTCTAACCAATTTCTACAGCCTAACTGTGACCTTTACTCTAACCCTAACCATTACTGGTTCATACATAAACCTAACCTCAACTGAATTCACACCTTAGTCCTAAACTATACCCCAGAAGAGAACTTTACCATATGGGGACCAGGCTTTTGGTCTCCCTAATGACATAGGTCCCTATGACACGACTGTGTAAACAGCCTTTTATTTTGATCTTCTGGAAAAGATTGTGTTGTTAATGCTCTGGCTCCAGTTGGAAAATAAATGAAATATCGCTAGATGCGCTCCAGCACTACCATCCATGCTTACTTCTGTAAACAATGAACACGCTTTCTACTTGCGAAATGACTGCGTCCTATACTGCGCATGCAGGACACTGTATAAATGCAGTTCACATGGAAGATCACATACAGTTTATATATATATTTGAAAATGTGAACAACCTGTAAAAACAATTGGATTTCATAGAAGGAAATTAGAATTGCACATTAAGGCCTGCAGTGTTAGCCTGGGTGCCATTCCGAACTTAGTCCCGCCCACAACGTTTGAGGTCGGGAAGGTCGGTCTGGCATTGCTCAGCAGTAGCGCGAGTATGCTCGCACAATATCTGGCGGGCCAATTAAATTGTCAGGGCGGGCTTTATAAGATGATGGACAGATGATCAACAGTAACGTAATCAACCACGTGACCAAAGCGCGCTTGGGTGACAACAACAATGGCTGCCGCCGGAGAGTTGAGGTGAGTAGATTCTGCTATTAGGTCTGTTCTAGAAGATATCGACAGCAAATTAATTTTAAAAGAGGAACAGAGAAACGCGATCAATGCTCATCTTATTCTAGGCATGCAACTGCACGCTTTGATTTTTGTTGACATCAACTATGCGTCGCTTAATTCCTCTTATTGGTTGTAGGTCTATCCAATTGAGTGCAGAGGCATTTTTTTCCTGGTTCGTTCGAAACACGCCCCATAATCACAGCTCTATGGAGCAGTATCAGACTCCTATTCTGACTAGAATTGAGTCGGACTACGTCAGGCTACTGCAGTGTGATTGTATCTCTAGTTTTCATGTGTCCAATGTTTTCCTTCTGCTGAAATGTTCGTCTTTTGAAATTTGCTTTTTTTATATATATCTCAAACTGTACCCTAAAAAGGATAACGTGTGATATATAATTCCCCCCCCCCCCCTCCCGCCCACAATGTAGTGCCTATCGTTCCACAAAGATAAAGGCAGCGCTATAAGGGAACTGCCTCAAGGTGGGCAACGTTCCACGGCATGCATGGCCTCGACCCCCAATGCATGTGATATATGTGGTGAAAAATTAGATCTGAAACTGAAATGTCGGTTACAATGCAAGTTGTAGCGGACAATAAAGAAATTGACTGATTGATTTGTTTGATTTCACTGCCTTGGTAAACTAACCCACCATCACTGGGTGTAGATAATAGAGATATGAGTTCTAGAGGGGGATAAAAAAGGCCTGTCATGGTTATTGAAGGAAGAAGAGGGAGCTCACCCCATACATAGATGACCTAGAAGATAACATTTCCCAATATACATCCACACTTTTACCACACTGCAAAAAAATAAAATAAATCTAAATAGGTTGTTTTTTCTTTAAATAAGTGAAATTTTCCGTGAATTGAGGAGGAAAGTGAGAGACTGCCAATCAAAAAAGACAATTTATAGTTAAAAACAATTACATTGTCTTATTTCAAGTGCATAATATCTAATGATCTTATTTTAAGAGCAAAAATACTAATTCTTTTGGCAAAATCATATTATTTACCTACTTAAATTAAGGGTAAATGCACTTGATTTAAGATTTGTTTTACTTATATCTATATTATTTTTGCAGTGCAGTTTGTCTTCGCAGACAGGATGTTTCCTGCTTTTAATTAAGACAAAATAAGATTCCATGGTAATTTCATTCTGAAAAGGATGCACACAACATATTACCAGTTTTAGGAAGGACTAAAAATTAGAAATAGACTTTTGCATTTTGGGGGGCAGGTCTAATTTTTTTTGCATGATTCATAATCCTATTAAAGACTTAATTTCATAAAACAATTGATAAATTAATAAAAACAAATTCATATTTTGACTGTGAACCTTAATTTTTATAATTAAAACTGCCAACATAGCACAAAGTGTACATTTTTAACTACCACACCTTTATGTTCTTTGTACATATTTTGCTTTTGCTTTGGGGAAAATTTGTTGTTAAATCTGTTGATGTCCAGATCACATTCTCTCCTATTTACACTGCAAAAATAGAAATCTCAATACGTTATTTTTTTCTTAAAATAAGTGCATTTTTCCTTGAATTGAGGAGGTAAGTGAGACACTTTGCCAATTGAACAAGACGATGTC